GTGTTTACTGACTGATGGAAGACATACTGTATATGGAACCATCACACATAAGCAGGAAAAGACTAAATCTTGACAAATGATGATGAAAAATGAGTTTTTGGAACTTTATGGAATCAAATTTTGAATGGGATAGCAATCAAGTTGATTTAAATATTCTGAATGAGCCCTTTCAAAACTCATAACATTTCAAAATGAAATCATAAATATGGGTGCCATTCAAAAGTTTAAGATTTCTATTTAATTTCAAGATTAATTGGACATGTTTAATTGTAAGTCTGATGTGCTATTGGATAAATGCAGTGAATCAGTTTATTATTACATTTTTGTATTATTATATTATTTTATTATATATAATTCCTATAGTGGGTTTATTTTTATTTTTTTTTTTGGTCCCAGTCACTTATACCTGTGAACTTGCATGTAAACTAGATGTGTAAGTAGTATGTAACTACAGTGCATGTCTTCAGAAGTACATGGTATGCAAATGAGTGTGAAAGAGGGAAAACACCTGCAAGTACAAATAGAGTGGAGGAACTATGACGTCACCCTGTAGGCTAATCGGCTGCTAGCATAAAACTGATAAAATCCCTAAAGGATTTTCCTATAGGCCTTTCGAAGATGGCAAAAATTAAGCTCTGTGTTCAAGCATTGTTTATTACACTTACACATTTTGTCCAACCGAATAATTCTCACTCGAAAATCTAAATTTTAGCACGTTTGAATCTTAAATGCAAACGCAAGAACTGAAAAGCTAACATTAGGCTATAAACAGACTACAGTGCATTCCGGTCTGTGACGTCAGCACCACCCTGCTAACAACAACTTTAAAAGCTTATTTTTTAGAAATATGGTCTATGAAAAAGATTTACTCTCTCGGTTTATTATATAATCCATGCTATATATTAAAAACAAATAAATACGCAAAATCACATAGACCTGCATGCGTTTTGGATAGTTTTTTACGTGGGAAATACATTTGTTTTGTTTTACAGTTGTATAAGTTTTAAAACTGTATGTATAAATGCGCCTAAATAGTATTATCATAAGACATATCTAAATTAGTGTATTGCTCACTAGGGCTGTGTATTGGCAAGGGCCTCATGATACGATACATATCGCGGTACATGGGTCATGATACAATATATATTACAATACAATAAATATTTTGATATATTGCAATAGTTTGTATTAGTATGCGTGTCATGTTATATTGACAACTTGATGAAGTCAGCAGACAAATTAAAGTTCCAATTCCAATTTATTTTCTATCCATTTCAATTCGATAGAACTGCACAGTGTTATCGAACAGAACTCACTGAACTGTATTAAATGCATATTGTTATTTAGCACTGAACTAAAATGAATACGCCACTAAAGTCACATATAAATTAAATAAACAATTTATAAGCAACTTAAGCAAGTTAAAAAAAATTTAAATGCATCAAGTAAACGTAAAACTGGAACACAGTGCTCTAATATGCGGTAAACTAGGCTTTTAGAAACTGACAGTGCGACTGACAGCATCGTGAACATTTTACTGTGAAAAACAGGTAAATTGATGGCTTGCACGAAAAATTTTACATGCAACAAGCCGGCCAGCTGTGCTGCCATGGTCATGTTTGACGCGTTGTTTGTTACAACGACAGGTCCTTCCAATTGATGTCCCATTCTTCCTATGCAGTTTTTAGTAACTCTGCAATGTTAGTTAAGGCAAACAGAAGCTTGTTGATCATGTTATCCAGTGTAGTTTGCCTTGAATTGAGAGGTTTTAGTTGAGGTCGCAGTGCCGCTAATTCATCTGCGTGGTGTCTTGTTAAGTGATAGCGCAAGTTCGTAGTGTTTCCCGAATATTTTAAGATAGATTTGCAAAGCTTGCAAATTGCATTTTTTGTTTAATTCAGTACTTTGGTATAGTGTTTAAACCAAAGTGCAGCCACACGTCCACTCTAAAAACTGGAGGCTCCATTATATTTTCCACTATGCTCACTCTTGCTTACTGCTGATACCATACTACTTAGCGTTTTGTTGATAGCGAGTTAGCGACATCTACAGGAGCAAAGGAGGAGGTTGTTGGACTATCGATACACTATCGTGAAATAAATTATCGCGATAGTTAGATATATCAATATTTTTGCACAGCCCTATCGCTCATGTGCAAACAGCCCTTGGGACACAAACAGCAGGCACTACGTCATAATCATTCCCCTACAAGAGCAAGCTCATTATTGGTTAGTGCAGTGTGAATGTCCGCTGAAGTTCAGATTTTCCAACTCAAGTGATTCAAACTCTCGCCACTTCATTTGTGCAAATTGCATCATTTGTGCCGCTGGATGTCAATTTGTGTTTTTGCATCGACTTAACATGTAAATCACTCAAGCTTGACGCTTCATCCCTGTCTGCTGTGAACGCAGCATTATATTATATTATATTATATTATATTATATTATATTATATTATATTATATTATATATTTTTATATTCTATTTTTTATATTACATTGTGTTGTATTGTATTATATTATTCATTCATTTTCTTTTCACCTTAGTTCCTTTATTAATCTGGGGTTGCCACAGCGTAATGAACTGCCAACTTATCCAGCATATGTTTTACGCAGCTTCCAGCTGCAACCCATCACTGGGAAAATGTATTATTATTTTATGTTATATTATGTTATATTATATTATATTATATTATATTATATTATATTATGATTTGCTGCTTAAGAAACATTTCTTATTATAATTTAAATATTTAAAACTTTTGAAAAAGATTTTTTTGTTTTTACTGTAACTTAATGCATCTCTGCTAAATAAAAGTATTGTTGTTGTTTTCTTTTTTTTTAATCCCCAAAAAGTAATATGTGAAAAGAGTTGTGAATGACAGATGTATGACAGACTTTAGTCAGACTGAGTTTTGCGGTCGTGAGAAATGAGGAAAAGAAAACAAGGGGCCTCCGTTTCCACAGACCACTTCCTCAAGGTATGTTGAGTTAGTTGATGGCTTAATAGAGAAGGACAGAGCAGAAACAGAACGACATGATTTACAGATGGAAGTTTAACAAGAGCGAAACCTCATTACATGGCAAATCATATTGTGTGCCACCAAACAGCCTCTAGAAATTAGCCCTGTTTGTTGATGCATAGACAGACGGCCCCCTGTAAAGTAAAGTTCTTTACAGAAACTCAAGTAAGATTATGTCTATAAATCTCATACTGCAAGTTTGCTGAGCTGTGAAGGCTGATGATGATTTTTTATGTCAGTTTTTTTTCATGGATGTTTCCATTACTATAATCGCAGCCTTTGACCCAGGCATCTTTGATTTATTTTTTCCATGTAGGTCACACTAACACTCAATGCCTAAGGGTCAAGGAATCTCTATACGTCGTTTGTGCTCAGTCACGTGTCAGATGACCCACGAGAACCTAATGTTGAGTATTACAGGCTGACTATTTTTGACTGACTTTTTTTGTCTATGAAATCAAAGAGGCGTTCATCTCCCAGATTAAAGATTACAAGCCTTTTTTTGGGGGCGTGTTTAAACATCTGTTCAGATTCAGTGGAGGAAGGAGACAAAGAACGACTTGACATAATGGGACAGTTTGTTAGAAAATGATAATACTGTCAGGTTATTAATGATTGTTTAACAATATCTATTCTGAACTATGTTTTTTTCATATCAAAAGGGTCTGATGTTGTTTTAGGAGAGTTAAAACATTAATCTAAATATCATATTTAATTTTTAGCTGAACTTTTCCTTTTAAAAGTAATGCATTGAATTAAGTGAACCCCTTGATGCTTTAATATGCTTTTATTAGTATGGCAGGGTTAATCAGGGTGAGTATAATCATAAGTGGTGCGTGTGTATGTGTGTGATGTTTGGCCAGTGTGTGCTTGGTGTTGGCAGTGTGGCAGTTTCCCCAATGTGTGCCAGCAGAGGGATTTAATAAACATCCGCCACACTGGGGCAATCTGGTCATGGTGGCCGCTGTGGCTGAAATGGGATTTTTAGGCTAATGCTGGGTGTTGCCTTCCTGTCACGCATCTCCTTTTGGTCAGCGCCACCCGGTGGCCATTGTTCTGTAGTGCACAGTTTCCGAGTCTGCCCTGGGTGTATGTGCACATGCTGAAGCAAGCGTTTTGCTGTGTCGATACACACCTCCAAATATCTCTCCCTTCACCCCCACCTGCCACAGTGCTGTATTGTAACCACCAAAGATGTCAGATTCGCTGATGAATGACACAACGTGGCGTATTTGGGAGGGTTACATTCTTGCAGTAAAACTGAATGGATACAAAGCTTTGAGCATTCCTCTCTCGCAGCACATTTTTTAAAGGGGAACTCATTTTCTCTCGGCAGCAAGTGGCTGGAAGTGTGCTGTGCCATCATGGTATGCTGACATTCATAATTAACGAGGCGATACAGTGTAATTTATGAGTACTTTGCTGTGACAATTTAAATCACATTTATATGAAATCACAGAATAGTTAGGAATATTTATGAGTTGGTCATTAAGATGATTAATAGGACCGTCAAGAGCACTTTTGGGTGTAGAAATAATTATTTCTAGGAGAAGATGTTGGAGGCAAAAGCTGTTTAATTTCCTCTGACATTTTTTTGCCTAAAAGTGCAATCATAATTTCTGACTTGTCTTTAGTTTTACTAAAGTGTTGTTGTTGTTGTTGCTGTTGTTGTTGTTTTGTTTACTCCTTCCTATTCACTGGTATTTGTCAGATCTGCTTTTGTTGTTATAATTGTAAATGTTGATGAATAAACTTTAATCTGCAATAATGTTGTAGAAATAAACCCTGACATTGATATTAACTTGGACAAATAAATGCTTTAGAAGTAGCTTTTCTTGTTAATGTTAAGTAATGTATCTCAATAATGTTAATTGTTTGAACTTTTATTGTAAAGTGTTACAAGAAATTTAAAGGAACTAATTTCCATCTGTGCTTTATTAACATATAATAAATTTGTATTGTGTTTGTTTATGTGTCAGGATCGAAAGCTGACCAAGGCGGAGCAGCAGCGATTTAAAGAGGAGGCTGAAATGCTGAAGGGTCTGCAGCATCCCAACATTGTGCGTTTCTATGACTCTTGGGAGTCTGTTCTTAGAGGGAAGAAGTGCATCGTCCTTGTGACCGAGCTCATGACCTCAGGAACACTCAAAACGTGTGTATCATGGCATTCTTACCGTTATATATTTGCTATTATATTAATAGGATATGAATATTATGTATGTAATACTGTAATGTGAATATATATATATATATATATATATATATATATAGTTTAAGTCAGAATTATTAGCACCTCTGTTTAATTTTTTTCCCAATTTCTGTTTTACGGAGAGAAGATTTTTTCAACACATTTCTAAACATAATGGTTTTAATAATACATCTCTAATAACTGATTTATTTTATCTTTGCGGTGATGACAGTAAATAATATTTGACTAGATATTTTTCAAGACACTTCTATACAGCTTAAAGCGACATTTAAAGGCTTAACTAGGTTAATTAGGTTAACTAGGCAGGTTAGGGTAATTAGGCAAAAAAATCGGGGAAAAATTGCTCAATGGGGCTAATTATTTTGACGTCAAAATGGTTCACCAAAAATTAAAAACTGCTTTTATTCTTGTTTAAATAAAACAATTAAAGTCTTTCTCCAGAAAAAAAAATATTATCATACATACTGTGAACATTTCCTTTCTATGTTAAACATCATTTGGAAAATATTTAAAAAAAAAAGAAAAAAAATAATTCAAAGAGGGCTAATAATTCTGACTTCAACTGTATATATTATCAATAAAAGAAATTTTGTAAAGTATGCTTGCATGTTAGCTTAAACACAGTTAAAGGCACAAACTTTATTTATGCTTTTATTCTTTTCCTACAAAGTTGTTATAAATAAAAATATTGATGCATGTACTCCATCAAAATATACTTTTAACTATCATGGTCAACTTGTCAGCTCTTGCTTTTATACTTAAATTTGTTGTTATTTTTGGTTCATTCAGCCTGTTGCTGTCCGGAATCATACAGTTTTAACATTCAGAAATGTTGCTTAATGTTTTTTTTTCTCTGCTTCAGGTATCTTAAGCGCTTTAAGGTGATGAAGCCCAAGGTTTTGCGCAGCTGGTGCCGGCAGATTCTGAAGGGTCTCCAGTTCCTACACACTCGTACGCCACCCATTGTTCACCGTGACCTCAAGTGTGATAACATCTTCATCACAGGCCCAACAGGATCAGTAAAAATTGGGGACCTGGGTCTTGCCACCCTCATGCGGACATCGTTTGCCAAGAGTGTCATAGGTGTGCGCTCTTGATTACATTTCTTGTGTATGGTTTAAGCTGGATATGTGATTGGCCTCTTTATAGTCATGGTAAGGCGTTGTGTTTTGAACGGGGTGCAGGCCTTCCACACTAGTGGCTGTAATTATGGTGTCTGTCAAGGATCCAAGAACAGGTCTCTTTTTGCTTGCTGTCTCTTTAACTCTCTTAACTCATAATGCCAGACTGCAGCTCAATAAAGGGCACCGCTCGCTGCCGCACATTATTGACAGCAATATGTGCACGCATAAAAACATCAATGCCTATTGATTTTTTTTTTTTAAACATATATATTTGCTGAGAGGAAAGTTAGCATGCCAGATATTCACATTAGAACAAAGCCAAATAAGCAAGCAGCATATCTATTTAAAGCATTGTTCTTTTTACCATGGTAAACCTGAAAGCTAACAGCAGTAGCTTGCGGATTCAGTTATTTCCTGTCTCACTAAGATGGAGGTTGCTGCAAAGGCTATTGTAATTAGCAAGTTCAAAGCGCCAGGGCGCTGCATAGATGATCATGTCTGCTTGCTGTGGCTGAAATTCTTCATGTGAATTTCAATAATTCTGAGATCAGAGAAAGAGACACACTTTGTTCAAGAGCTTCTTGATTGCTTCAGAGATTATCTACTTGTGGTTTGCAGTTAAATGAGAGGATTTAGTTTTTAGTTTTAGCCTTATATGGAGAAGGCACATTTATAGGCTTGAAACGCCAAGGTTATTCTGAGTTTTCATGACTACTTGATCATTGGCTGTTGTCAAGGAAAAATTAAATTAATAGTTTACCAGATTTTTGTTTGTATCATAGCAACAGATGCTAAAGATGGAAAACCTGACACACGGATGCAAAAAAGAGACAATTTCCAATTAATGTTGTATTAATTTTTCAGGAACTCCAGAGTTCATGGCTCCAGAGATGTATGAGGAGCACTATGACGAGTCAGTGGATGTCTATGCCTTTGGCATGTGCATGCTAGAAATGGCTACCTCAGAGTACCCCTATTCAGAATGCCAAAATGCTGCACAGATCTACCGCAAAGTCACAAGTGTAAGTTGTTATGACTCTTGATATTTAGATAATCATAGGGTGAATTCACTTAAATGTGCTGATCAACATATATCATGATGCATGTTGTTATCATGTGCTTTTAGACGACACCGCAATAATGTTTTAGCATGTGCAAATAAACAGCACTTCACAATTTATTCTTCGTTAATTCACTGTTCTGTTTTATTCTTAGCTCATGCACTAGTTGTATATGTACTTCAGTACTCGCATAGCATCCAGGTGTGAATCACATGGGGATGAACACATCTGTTTTGTTTTTGTGCAGGGCATCAAGCCTGCCAGTTTTGACAAAGTAAATGACCCTGAGGTAAAAGAAATCATTGAGGGCTGCATTCGCCAAAACCGATTAGAGCGGTAAGCACGTACCTCGTGAAAGTTCTTCTGTAAGTGAAGCGAGAATGTGAAATGATCATCTACCTTCTCTGTTTTCACCCTCAGGCTCTCAGTGAAGGACCTCCTAAATCATGCCTTCTTCGCAGAGGACACCGGTGTTCGTGTGGAGCTTGCAGAGGAAGATACAGGCTGCAAAGACTGCCTGGCCCTGCGCATCTGGGTTGAAGAGCCAAAGAAACTCAAAGGCAAGCACAAGGACAATGAGGCCATCGAGTTCAGCTATGACCTGGAGAACGATAGTGCTGAAGAAGTTGCTCTAGAGATGGTGAGAAATGCAGGAGAGGACAAAGAGTGTATTATACATGTCAGATATCAGAAATAATGGAAACTATAGCATGTGCTATTTATAGTGATCTCATTCACCCTTTTGTTTTTTCTATTCTGTTTTTTTTTTTTAAAGGTAAAATCTGGCTTTTTCCATGAAAGCGACGCTAAGGTAGTGGGGAAGTCCATCAGAGACAGGGTGACTCTAATTAAGAAGTCTCGTGAACGGCGGCTCCTCCAACAGCAGCAGCAGCAGCAGCAGCAACAACAGCAAAGTCTGGATGAACGCCGTGATTCTTCTGTCCTTACCACCTCCATTCCTTATGTTCATCCTTCTTGCACCACCTCCTCACAGGGCACAGGTGCCGCTGCAGCTGCCGGGGGTCAAGGAGAGGCAGAGGAGCTGCCAGAAGTTGACCAACATGTCCAACAACAAGGCACTGCATCAGGCCTCACAGGTGCACAATTCAAAGAGAATCACAATCTGAAAGTGATAGTTCACTTAAATATGAACTGGCCCAAGTTTTGTCATCATTTGCTCACTCTTGACTCCTTCCAAACCAGGTTGAGTTTTTTGTTATGAAATATTTAGAAAAATCTGGGAAACCGGTAACTAACTAGTATTTGTTTGTCCTGCTATTTGTCTTAATGGTTACTGCTTTCCAACATTCTTAAAAATTTGGGGAAATGAGGGGGAAAACTCATTCATGAAGAAATTCTCATTTTAATTTATTGATACAATTAACCCAAAACACCCCTTGAAAGAAAATCGAATTCTTCTTTCACACACCGAAAAAATTTGATATTTAGGAGAAAAATAAGGCTGTGAGTAGAGGGACATCATTCTTCATTTTAATTGTGTGCTTTTTAGTGTAAACTAATCTTGCTATCACCTCTTTTTTACCATTATACATGGGAAGAGGCTGCTGTAAATATTTAGTTGGAGCATATTGCTGCATTTAAACTAAGTTGAGTGGTGCAACACAAAATTATTTAGAAGTGTGTAAGATGTACCTTTGACTCCCTTTAAGTCACAACTAGGCTATGTTTTAGCTTGCCCACTGTTGGTGGAACTAGCCCCAAAAGAATAAACACAAACCTGTTTTGAAAAAGTCAAATTTGAGTAAAATATGGCAGAATGTTTATTTTGGAGGAACTATTTCTTTAATATGAACTTCTGATCACATTTAACTTATATTTGACCCAAATTGGGGTATAAATCTTATTTTTTGTTCCGCTTTTCCCTATTCAGAGAGTGAGAGTCTTGCTGCTGTCCCTGGACAGAGCCAAGCCTTTTCAGCTCCCGATTCAGGGAATCCTTGTGCTCATGCTCAAACCAGCTACCCCACTGGCACATCTGTAAGTCCTGCTACTTCCATATACGTTGCATGCCTGCAAACTTTGTTTCCTGTGCCACACTGGACATCTCAAGCTGCTGAGACACCACCATTCTTGCTCATTTGAAACCTTTGATGTGCAACACAAAAAAAGTCATTGTTGTGTAAATGTACACTTTGGACAGATAAGAATTGTTTCCTTTATTTAGGGAGCGTCTCACCCTCAACTGCTCCCAATTGGTCAGAGCGGAGGGGTTCCAAATGTGCCGGTTGGCCAGAATGGTGGGATATCTGGCATTTCCATTGGCCAAAGTGGTGGTGGGGCTCAGACTTTCATTCAACCAGTCACTATGGCTTCACAGGTCCCATTAATTGTGCCTCAACAATATTCTCAGGTGATTGTCTCCCTTGTGTCCAGCTTTTCCCTTTTCTCGATTTCACTCTTTTTGCACTGGACACAATAAATTATGACTAAACAAATCTTGGTAGACTTGGTTCACTCAGTCTCTAATGTTATTTTAATGGAATTTGTTGAGGGACTGATATTTCACTCCTCATGATCATGTCCATGTGTCAGAATATAAAGTTACAATAACTTTGTGTCATGTCTATTTATTTCCAGAGACAATATATAGACATGACACACTATTACTGAAATGCATTTCCTCTCAGAAACCTCTGCCTCTGTGTATTCTGTGTTCTGTGACTTTGATTTAGGTCGTCATGTGCCGAGTTGCGTGATGTTCACTGACCTACATTTTTAATGTTGTGTCCAGAGAACACATTTTTTGCTGAATTTCACTGTAATATTGAGTTGATTTATAAACTGAACTATAGCCTGTTATTTAAAGTGAACACATTTTCTTCACTTCAAACCAAGCTGAAATTAAGTTAAATTGCTACATTTATTATTCATGTTTTTTATATGATGCTACAGCAGATATATGCCAGAACACGATGAAGCAAAATGAAAAAAAAATACATAATAATGTATGCAGAGCAGCAACAGTATTTGAGCTGGAAAAGGTACAAACTTTACAAGTTGACAGATAGAAATTAATTTCCTAAAGCAATAGGTTACGCAAAGCAAAAGGCCTATTCACATTAAAAGCAAATTCAAAGCAAATTGAATCAAAAAATATGGTTCAGGTCAAGTACAAGAAGAATTTTTGTTTCAGTCTCTGAAATTAAATCTGGGCATGCTACATCTATCATATTGTTAATACATGACCTACTATTGTCCAATAGACTGATTTCACGCGGCCATCATTTTAAACAGCGAAATCGAGCCTGTGGTAGGAAGAAACCCGGAAGTATCGCCTGAGTCACAGAGGAATTTGTGTACCTGGCTGTATATCTTATGAGCGAAGAGAAAGTGACACAAATTTATAATTTCACTGCCATCCAAGTGACCCGAAAGTCCGTTCTGAATAAATAGTGAAAATATAAAGGGATATTGGACCTCATTTTCAGCTAAGTTAAGGGAAATAGCACTAGTTAGCTGACATTTTCTTTTCTGAACACACGTTTTAGATACCATTTATCAAACAAGTTAATGAACTGATACTTTCACTATATTAGACTTGTCACGATACAAAATTTCGATTCTGAAATGTAAAAAAAAAAACAAAAAAAACGTCCATTTCCCATTAACATTTAAGCACTGTTGATGACGTTCTTAAACAGCGCTGATTTTCTATGGTGTTCATGTGCTCAACAGAAATGACTGTTATTGACCATGAAGGTCATCAGTTCACCTCACTTCACCGATGTTCACCAAGTGCAAACACAGACTTGAGATCCTGATAAATTGACTGATCTTCATGGCTTTAAAACACTCCAATGTCCGTCTATCTGTGTTTGCAATCTGTGAAGAGCGGTATACTTATGACCTTCACAGCCAATCACAGTCATTTCTGTTGAGCACTGGTGAACACTATGGCAAATCAGCGCTGTTTATGAACACGCTCAATGGCGCTTAAATGTTAGCAGGAAATAGACGTTTTTAAAAGTTTAGTACCGGGACAACACTATTACAGACAACACGAGGATGTGCTACAGTGAACTGCATTGTTTATGGCTCACCGGGTTACATAGGCTGAAGCAGGAAAGCGTCACCACGTTGTTTACCTGGTGCCATGAACTGAAACTTAGGAGGACACTTAAGCGTATTATCCTTAAAGAGATTGTAATGTTGTTTGATGCCTAATATGCATTAATTGTTTAAATTAAACTGAACTGAATGATATTAAAGTGATGTTTACACCATTTATGCATTTTGAAATCGCCGCAACAGGTGGTGGTTTGTCCACTGCATGCTGTTGAAATGTTTACAGTGCTGATCCTATACTTCCGTGTTTCTTTCCACCGCAGCCTCGCTTTTGGGTTTTAAAATGGCTGCTGTGTGACATAAGCGTATGTGATACTTCACTTCCAGTGATTAATTTTCTTCATGGGACAGTAAAGTGTCATTAGATGTTCACCTAACCCCCTTTATTTTATACTTATTGGCATGTACTACTCTGCTGTTTTCACATAGTATTTTGTTCAGATATGGCAACTTTTCACAAATGGTATTTCTGAATTGACATGACCAAAGTATTGCGGTCATTTAAAAAACTTTTGCTGCATTGCAGGGCTCGAATTTGCCAGTAGGAATGCATTGCTGTTATTTAAAGGTTTTGAGCTGCAAAATTGCATTAATGGTAAAATAGACCTATAGGGGAAAAGCTTTTGTGGTGTATTGGACTGACCTGAACACCATCAATATTGCCCTTCATTTTTGGAATACAGCCTCTGTTAAGATTAAACATATGATTACTAAAGAAACAAACATTTTGATCATAGTTTAAACACTGTCTAGTGTTACCCAATAATTGCACAAGCAGAATCTTTTGCTTTCCAAAATGTCTTTTTTCCTTTGGATGATTAATCAATGCACTAATGCTTATTCCTGCTCTCTGTTTTCTCCCTCCCACCACTACATGCTACCCCACTACTTGATCTGGCCTGTTAACTCCTCCCAAATTAATGTTGCTCCTACCAGCCCCTTCCACCTTACTCAGCAGATGTTGCATCCTCACAAATGTTACACTCCCGGCCTACTGATGCCTCCACTCCCCACAGTTCCCTAATACAGTCACAGACATACATGCCCCCAGTATCGCCCCAGGCACCCATGGCTGTCCTTACGTCCTCTATTCCGACTGGAGAACCAATAGCACCAGCAGGCAACATCATGCCACCCATACAGACCCAAACTAGTATTCCTCCTCTTCAACCCATGGATGTTTTGCCCCTGCAAACTGTTGTTCAAAATCAACAGCAAGTGATGCCTGAATTGCCCAGAACGCTGCAACCTAACATCCAGCAACCAACACCACAACAGCAGGCAAATGTAATGCAGCAGCATCAGACAGTCTTGTTGCCACAGCAAACTGACCAGGTTCAGCAAATTAAAGTTTTGTTACAACAGTCACAGCATGCAGAACAACCCCAGGTGGTTCTGCAGGAGCAGGCCCCACATTCCAGTGCATCTCAACAGCCATATATCCCATTACCACAGCAAGCACCGCCAACAATGACCAACCCACAGCAAAGTGAGCTGCAACAGCAGGTGTTTATACAGCAACCTCAAAGCAAACCCCAACAACAAGTTGGGATACAGCCTCAAGTTCAGCAGCATCAGACATCAATACAGCAACCCTCAGTTGATCAGTATCAACACCAGACTCAGCAACAGCAAGTGTATGTGCCACAAATGGCAGAATCACAAGACCAGAACGTGATAAAGACTGTGATACAACAGGTACCGGTGCTGCAAGCAATTCAGCAGCCATTACAATTGATAGAGCAACAACAGCAGCAGCTTCTGATTAGGCAACAAATTGAGCAACATCAGAAGGCTGCTTTACAAAACCAAATGGAGCAACATCAACAGCAAGTTTATATTCAGCCACCACAACAGCAAAAAGTGGAACAACAACAAATTCTTATGCAGCAACAGCAAAACTTGGCAGTAAAGCAACAGATAGAGCAACAGCAGCATGCATTAAAGCAACAAAAGCAAATAGAGCAGCAGCAAAAAGCCATTTTACAGCAACAGGCAGAACAGCAAAGACAGCAGCAACAGACTTTGTTTCAGCAACAGCAGCTGGAGCAGCAACAAGTATTACTGCAGCAGCAACAGCGTGAACAACAACAGGCTCTTCTCCAGCAGCAACAGTTGGAGCAGCAAGCTTTACTGCAACAACAGCAGCAACTTCAGTTAAAGCAGCAACAAGCTCTTCTACATCAACAACAGCTGGAGCAGCAGCAGCAGGCTTTGTTTAAACAGCAGCAGCTGGAGCAACAGCAAGCTCTTTTGCAGCAGCAGCAGCAGCAAGCTCTCGTTCAGCAGCAGCAACAGTTAGAGCAAAAAGTACTGCTACAGCTGCAACAGCAACAGCAGCAACACATCGATCAGCAGCAAAATTTAATACGCCAACAGCAGCCTCAGCAGATCGAGGCTGTTTTACAGCAACAACCACAACTTCAGAACTCAACTGATCAACAATTGCAGCAGCAAATATTTCAACAACAGACCGAGCAGCAACAGATGCAGCAGCATCTACTGATGAAACAACAGCAGATGGAATTACAGCGACAACAAGCTCTACAAGCTGAGAAACAACGACAGCAAGTTCTATTGCAACAACAACATTTGGAGCAACATGCAGCTCTGGTGGATCATAGTGGGCAGCAACAAGCAACCCTGGTGAAAGCACAGTCTCCAGAAATGGTCCAGCAGATTAGTCAAGTGCAGCAATCTCAACAAATGATGTCTCTACAACCGCAGCCTCATCTTGCTCAACAACAAACTGACCAGACCCAGGTCTTGACTCAGCAACAAGCCATTCTTCCCCAAGCAACACACAGACCTTCTCTGGTAGACTTGCAAATCCCAACCCTGCTTCAAGCAGCACCTAAAATAGTCAGCACTCAAATACCTACCCAAGTTCAAGCCCCAGTACTTTTGCAGCAACAGGTGCCACCTCAGATGTCAGCTCAACCTACAGCACAAGTACAACTCCAGAGTCAAGGTGAACCAACAATTTATGACCAGATTGCAATGCAGAGTCAAAGTCATCCCGCACAGCAGTCAATGGGAGGTCAAATTCAGACAGGCCAATTGCAAATTCCACAATCAACCCAACAAATCACATCCCCAACACAAGTTCCTACACCACAACCCATTCATTCTTTTGTTCCAACTTCAACACAGATGGTCTCACAAGGGCAAACCCTTCCACCTCAACCTCAACTGGTACCCCCTCAAGCTGCAGCTTCTCTCCAGTGTCAAGTTGCAGTAGGGTCATCTGCACCTGCATCTTTTGTTCAAGCTACAGTCCCAACTGCTTCTACACTTGTGCCCACACAGTATGCTCAAGCACCTGTTGCTTCTCAAACGATCCAGTCTGTTCAGTTAGACCTCACTCAACCTGTGAAGCAGCAACAACAACAACAGCCGCCTCTGCAGCAATATCAGCAAGCGGTGCTATCTCCGGTGTCACTTGCACCTACGATCAATCCAGTGGCTTCTTCCTCAACACAGTGCTATTTACAGCAGACAAACCAATCACAAATTCAGGTCCAAACCCAACAAGTAATTCAAGCTCAGCAACAACCAGTCAGTTTGGCCTCGATGCAGGCATTCTTGCAGCCCCTACCTTTAGTGCAGCCTCAGGCTACCCAACAGTATGAGCAGCATTTGCCTCAAGCCCACCACGTGCAACAACAACCCCTCCACCATCAGCAGCAGCTTCTGCCCCCAAATGCTGTTATACCACAAGATATCCACCAACAAACGTGTCAGCCTCAACCAGTGCTCCAGCATGTGCTCCCATTACACACTGCACCCAGTCAGGTACCTCAGTCCCAAGCTAGTACAGTACCTCTCTACAGTCAGGTGGTGTCAGCTTCCCCCCAGCAGAAATTAACTCTTCACACTCAAACACAGTCTAGCATGCAGTCACAAGTGCTCTCAAACTCACAGGCACAGACTCACATAGAGCCCACTGGAGCATTTGAGCATCCTCATTACACCCAGGCTGCCTTTATGCCATCACAGATTCCCACAAGTCCATCTCATACTTCCATACAGCCCTCTTCCACTCTCCCAGCCCAACAACCAGTTGTCCCAGTTTCAGAAATTCCTGTCCCAGCAGACGCACAGCTAACACAGGCAAGGCCTGCTGATTTGATCCCTGCTTCCACTCCTACTGTCAATACTACCCAGTCCCATGACTCAAACGGCTCTGTGCTGACAACCGCCATGCTGGCAGAAAGTGACGCTGCATTGCTGGGCATTGCTCAGGTACAAAACCACTGTAAATTAGATTACCATACATTATACCTTATTGTCACACATTATAACCTTTCCATTCACTATAACAGTGAGAATTTTTGTGTAGTGAGTATGGCAGTGTTTATTGTGTTTGTGTGTGTGTGTGTGTGTGTGTGTGTGTGTGTGTGTGTGTATATATATATATATATATTGTATATATTGTATATATATTGTGTTTTTCTTTTAATATATATATATATATATATATATATATATATATATATATATATATATATATATATATATAGTATACGAGTATATATTACATTTAGTATATATTAGTATAAATAAAATTTAGTATATATTTATATAAGTATTTTATAAGTAATCAATATTTAAGGTTTTGTAGGCATAACAATATCAGTCTATTTTAAACTGAGTTGTAATACCTAGAACATAACACTAAAATCACAACACCTACAAAAAGTTAAACTTACGAAAATCAAACTTACAGTTTTGTCTCCTAAAAAAACTTTAAACTTTACATTTTTTATCTATTTTCACACAAAGTATTGTGTAATACTTTGCTGGTCATTTTACTTATGAAACTTTTTTGTATTATTTGATTATTATTTGCAAACATCATTACGTTACTGATGCTTGGTTCTTTGTTTTTCTTTTTGTTTTTATGTTGTTATGTGGTGGTTCCTGTTTGTTTGTCTTTTCTTTCACTTATTAGGAAAGCCTAATTCACTCTGCCAACAGGGGATCTTTATTATGGTAAGTGCTTTTGTCTAGTTGTGACAGCATATTAAACATTGAACAATGTTTTCAAACTATTAATAAAATGTCATAAAATCCAGCTCTGCTCCTACCAATGGAGATGAGGGCCAGTTGGTGTGGCCTAGTGGAAAACTAGATAAGGCAAAATGTCAGAGGAGATCATCCTGTCAGAAGACTGAAAAAACTCACTTCCAACTCTGCATGTTGCAGGTAAGGAAATCATAATATTTGCAATATTTTCTGCTCTTCTCTTTTAATTAAAAAATATATACAACAAGCACTTATGTTTATATGTTATAGGTCTCATGCACAGGAGACAACATGGTAGAATGTCAGTTGGAGACTCACAGCAACAAGATGGTCACGTTCAAGTTTGACATTGAGGGAGATGCACCTGAAGACATTGCAGATTACATGGTAATATATTTTTTTAGCTGCTACAGTGATTCATTTGCTTCTTGTGAAATGGCATGCTAAGAAAATCTGTAATAGCTGATCCTGACCTGTGGCTTTTTCATTCGGAGTGTGTCTTCATCAGTAGATTTCTTCACAATATGTTTTGTGCAGGTGGAGGAGGACTTCGTCCTTGAGCCTGAAAAAGAAAAATTTGTTGAGGAGCTGAGATGTATAGTGAAGAAAGCTCAAGCAATATTAAGTACTCAGTCGCAGGTTTGTCATTCAATGTTGTGTGTTGCTATTGTTGAAAAAATTCTCCATTTGTTTTTTGTAATGTATTTTTATTTGAAATTTATTCCTACTATATTTCAGATATCCGTCTCAATATTCCAATATGCTTATTTCTGATTATTCTAATGTGCTAATCTCTTATTCAGAGTTAAAAACAAATATGCTATGTCGTTTTTGTGGAAACCATTATGCAGCTTACGGGATTGTTTAGAACTGCATTTGTTTGAAATAAAATGTCTTTAGTGAATAGTGTTTTGCTGTTTTTTTTTTAAATGACAAAATTGCTTAAAAATAAAAATAGGGACTTCAAACAATGATTAATTTTATATAGTAGCATATGTTGTTCTTTTTATTATTTCAATTTTTTTGTCACAGACTGGATCCCTGGAGCAGCTCCAAGTGAGCACCCCATCCAGTGCAACAAGTGAGTGTAACAATCTCGCATTAGCATTTCTCTCATATTAAATCATAAAACAAATTTAAGCTCAAAATAGCATTGTTTTTTCAGCATTGCATAGGTTTCTTTTAATATTGATTACAATAAATAAAAAATATTAACCAAGGCTTTTCAAAATTAAAAATGTACACCTTTGTTACAGTTGATAAATTTACTGTTCACTGTTTTTTTTTTTTACATTTCCAAAGTGGATTCAGCCCCTCAGTCTTCTCCAGTAGGTCGCTGGCGGTTCTTCATTAACCAGACTATTCGTCACCGTGATTCACACTCCAACCAGGGAGCTTCGACTCCCCCTCCAGTGGGGGAGAACAGAGTTCCCAAGTCCATAGAAACCGAGAAAGGTAGAAAACTCATTGACACCCTTAACTTTTGGCCTGCAGTGAAATTTCCAGTAGAAGTTACCTAACTTATATTTCAACTTCAGAATGTTTTTGACAATAATATTAAATTGCAATAAAGATATGATTATTAATGAGACTAATGTTAACTCACATGACAACTAAAGAATAATTAAAATTCTGTTTAATGTATTATCAGATCATGAGAGCCCGCAGCGCTCCGAGTCTTTTGCTGGAATAGCATCTTCCCCAAGTTCTTCACTATCTGCATCCTCTCCTCCAGTCTCTACTGTATCCGCTCCTGCATCCATGTCAGCCTCAGCCATGGCTGCTCAAAAAGATTTTACACCTGCTGCCTTGCCAGCAGTAGAGAAAGTCTCCTCTACTATGCTGACCGCAGGTCCAGTCCCTGTCATGGCCTCCAGCACTTCTGCCACTCCTTTTCCTGCAGCCATGGCCCTCACAGGCTCTAATGTGGACCAAGGAGAATCTGCTGTTAAAGGTGAGGGTCAACAGCCTTATGTGACTCCTCCAACGTCACTGTTGACCCATGCTGACCCATCTCAGCACTTAATTGTTCAAACCCCAATGGCACCCTCACAGATGCCAGATATACCTCAACAAAGCCAGACACTTCAATCAACATTGATCACAACTGAACAAGTTCAGCAACCGCAGATTACCCCTCAGCCACTTCTGCAGGATGCTCCACAGCTACCTAAACCAGAATCAAAATCGCTACCACAGGCAGTGCCTAAAGAGATGGTTCCTTTGCATGAAGGTCTTTCAGCTGCCCAAGTTCAGCAGGTCCCTCTCCAGCAAGTACCAGTAGAATTGCAACAGCAGCCAATGCAGCAGACCACATTCTTACAGCAAACATCCAGTGCAGAGCAGATACAGCAGCACATGGCAGAACAGTTTTTATCTCAAGAAACCAAATCAGCTCCAATGATACTGACCATTCATCCACAGCATGGCTTCCAGACCCAGGATCCTCAGCAGGTTCAAGCTCCATTGCAGTCTATGATCCCCCAGCAGGCTCCAATTGAGCAAACCCAGACATTATATAAACAGGTCCCACATGATATGATGCCAGTGGCAAAAACCGCAGTGCAGAAGCAAGTGTCTTTCCAGCAGTCAGAGTCTGAGCTGTCTACGGGTGAGGACACCGTCAGCCACTCTGCACTTCCGCATCCCTCTTTAGACACCTCTCTTCCACCCCTCCCTCTCTCTGAAACAGCTCTTCCTGCCCTCTCCCACACATTCACTCCTTCTCCAGCACAGCCTTCTTCAGTAGCAGAGTCGGACAGTGAAGGCCCTCCCAAAATTGAGTTTGTGGATAACCGAATCAAGACTTTGGATGAGAAATTGAGGACTCTGCTCTATCAGGAGCACGGCGGCAGTGGAGCAGCTGTGGGCAGTGCCTCCACAGGAGGAACTGCTCCAGCCTGCTCCACTTCAGGATCTGCCACAGCCTCTACTGCAGTTGATGAGTCTTCAGAAGTCCCCTACGCATTCTCCCTACCTCCTGCCACCTCCTCGGACACCTCCCCTCACTCCACCTCTTCCACAACCTCCTCCACCACCCCTCGCTCTTCCTCCACCTCCCCGGATGGAGAGCGAGAGAAAGCAGGCGAGGAGACGACGACTATCCCACCTGCGGTACAACAACAGCCTGCCTCCTCTACATCCCCTCCATGCTCTCTTCTTTCCCATCCACAGGAGCCTGGATCCCCCAAAGTTACTATTCAATCATCAGTAAGCGTAAGTAAGGGTGTGTGTGTCTTACATAGTCCCTGTATACAACTGGTTCTAAGATGCTTTTTGGTTGTTTGGATTACAAGTAGACAAGGGAGACACATTCATGTTTTCTCTTAGCATTCGTCAACTTTCTACCTCTTTTATTTATTTGAGGTGAGGCTGTTTGTACAGTATATGTGAGCTTGTTCCACAATTATGAAATGAGCTCCTTCTAATTACATATGAAGCTTGATTAGATCAGAAAGTCAAAGCAATAGGGAAAGCAGCCACTTTTATCACTTGTCTGATAACCACAAAACTATTCAGAAAACTTTGGGTCTGTGTAATGTTGAAATTGTAATAGAATTGATTAAATGAGAATTTAACTCTTTTTTTTTTTTTTACCTTCATACCAAACTTAAGATTTCAAATTCTGTCTGGCCAGTGGGCTTTATCAATAAGTCTCATAATAGTAAAGGATCAGGTCAGTTGGCAGTAAGGAGGTGGTCTTTAGTGGTTGTTCAAACCCTTTCAATCTCATAAGCATATACACTGACTAAGAAACTTAGTAAATTGCCTTTTTTATAAATGTCTGCAGTTGTTTGAAAAATTACAAACTTAAAGGGGCAGTATGTAAGTTTGAGACCCAGTGGTTGAACTAAGTATCACATTCCTGGATCAAAACAAACGCAAGCACAGGTTGCCAGATTGACTATAGAGGCTAAAGTCTGAAATATATCGTGTTTAACATTAAAGTAACAGCACACGATAGAAAGAATATTTTACATATTAAAATTTGAGTTTAATGAGTTTCAACACCTCAAATTAATATACATACATACATATATATATATATATATATATATATATATATATATATATATAAAAGGGCATCTTCTCAAAGGTGAACAACAAGATAAACTGATCACCTCAGGTACACCTCATGTGCTTAATTTAGTGTTAAATGCTAATTGAGTTTAAATGCCATTTTACGTGACATTTGTCACGGACGCACGCTTTGAGAGTCTTCCTGACTGAATAAATGAAATATGCTGTTTTCCAACAAGGCAACCTGGGTTGCTGAATTATAATCGAGTAAACTGGCATTGGGCAGCTTAAAAAAAATAAAAACAAGACAGCATGCCGGCACAGAAAACACATTTTCAAAGCAGAATAACTGACTTCAGCATTGTTTTTCAGATAAACAAGAATGTTCACTTGACATGTTTCTTAAAAATTAGCAAAATATAATGATATTTTTATGCTTTAGAAAAGTCAAAAACTTACATACAGCACCTTTAAGACATTTCAGAACCCATTTGCACTTTGCTGTTTGTACTCATGTGGTCAGATTGACAGAAGCATATCTTAATTTTAGGTGTAAACAGGGCCAAAATCAGGTTAATCTTTTGTCGTCCTTTATTCTTTCGCAAAAATAATAAACTACCTTCATATGATAAAAGAAAAAAAGGTTTAATTTAACATAAAGCCTTTTTAATAATTGTCTCTTAACTGCTCTTTTTTTGTATCATTAAGAAAATATAAAAGGCAAATAAATTATGCATAGACCACAACCATAAAAAAAGAAATTAAAAAATGTTAAAATAAAATTTTAAAATATGAGAAACCTAAATAAATTTAATCTTGACAATAAAGTTTGCAGTCAAAGCGAAATATAATAAAAAAAAATTTTTACTCATTCTGTCACATCACTATTATGTACACAAATCTTGAAATTGGTAACAAAATTTCAAGTTAAAATTTAATGTTTTTATTATTTTTCATATTATTCTGCTTACATTTGTTTCTCTCCCCTTGTTCACGTGCTATGTCCAGGCTCCCCCTTCCCTCTCTGACAGCTGCACCCCTGGAGATGTTCTGTTGCCTTCCTCTTCTCAGCCGCCCGTCCCACTGTGGCCTGGACAGCAGCAGCACAATGAAGGAGGTGGATATTTTGGCCTAAACCTGACATGTCCTAGTATCAGAAATCCTGTTAGCAAGAAATCCTGGACTCGCAAATTCAAAAGCTGGGCATGCAAACTGCGCCACTCCGCCAGCTTGTTCAAGAAGCCCAGAGTCCAGCAAGGTAGTGTTCGCAGGAAGCGCGCAAGAGAGAGCGAGTGAGGGGTGTGGGTGGGCACAGAAAATAAATGTTTAGATTAAAAGTAATATAGCTGACCCCTTACCTTGCTAGATAGGGATTTCTTAATTGCTAAAACATACTGTTAGAATTAATAATTAGTTATTAATCCTAATAGTTTTTGATGGTGGTTGTTGCTGTGTGCTTAGTCTGTAATGAAGTCATTACATCACCTAGCGATTACATTTTTCTTGCTTTAGTTTTTTTGTTGTGGAATTGCTCCTGCTTTACATTAACATTTATGTTGTAGATTCCTTTTTGTTTTTGTCTGCATGGGTTACCCAGGGGTAAGAACAGACGAGGGTAGAAAAGGGAGAGAATCTAAGAGGGATGACCCTGGATCTGAGTCTCCAGTCTCACCGTATGCAGTGCTGTTATTGCGGTGCCTGCACCCCTCACCATCCTGCACCCGCCTCACTCACCCACAGCACCTGAAATGGCTAAAATGGCACACTTGTTTAAAAACTACATGGGCTGGACTCTGAAGTTTGCACCTGTTCATTTTGTTTAGTAAAACCTGAATGCCGCAATATGTTGTTCAATCATGTCCAATTAAATTCAGTTCAATTCCTATCCATTATAATGTCAAAATAACAGCTGCAAACTTTTCTTTTAAGAGATGAATCTGACCTACATGACCGTTATGTTTATAAACTAATTTACTGAAGCTTTAGCAAGTTTAATATCCAGCAAATCAAAGCTATATTTTTATATTCATATGAGTATATGAATCAAAATTTTTGAGTCTGATATGTAACCCTGGACCACAAAATCACTAAATCTTACAGTATGTTGCACAGGTATATTTTTGGCAGTTGACACAAATACATTGCATGTTGTATTGCATAAAATTGCTGATTTTTCTTGTTAGAATAATGATGAATATTATTTTCCATGAATATTTTTCTGTACATATATCAAAACTTAATTTTTGATGAGTAATGTACGTTACTAAGAACTTAAGACAAATTTAAATGTGATTGTCTCATCATTATAATTTTGAATCCTCACATTTCAGATTTTCAAACAATCGTATCTCTGCCAAATCTTGCCCTATACTAACAATATCTAAAATCTTTAACATAATAAAAATGTAACATTCATGACTGTATTTGAGGTCCGTGGTCACATATATGAATCTGAGTTCATTTCTCCAACAGCTTTAGATTATATCCTGTTCTTTCCTACCTGGGTAGACTTTTGAAAGGTTTTGTTTTCCTTTTTTTGCATGTCGGTGTTTGGAATGGAATACTAGCATACTGCTGTGTATACAGTTTTGTTTAAAAGGGTGTGGAAATAGTTTAGTGTAAAAAATGGTACACAGTATGCACTGATAAGCATTTCAAACCACAGTCTTGGTACATGTTGCACAGCCAAAGGTTTGTAGTCAGTAAGAGTTTAAGGAAATTAATACTCTAAGGATGCATTAAAGACTTCTAATGCATTTTTAGAAAAGCTGATTTATATTATAATAATATTTCAATCTATTACTCTATTTCTGGTCAAATAATTGCAGTCCTGGTGAGCATAAGAGCCTTTTGTGAGAAGGAAAAAAACTTACTGACCTTAGACTTAAATGAAAGTGTACATTAAGTGATATCTTAATAAAATAAAGGCCACATACAGTATATGCTGCAGCATATTTTGATTGCTAGTTTGCCTTTTAAAGGTCAATTCTTTTCTGTGCACACACAGTTCAGAAATTTACAAGAGTGACAACGCTGTAGCTGTAGTGTGTGCATGGCCAAAATTGTAATTTTGGCTTTTTTAAATGAGCAGATTTTATTTAGCTTTATTGCATAAAGCTGAAGCTTTGCACTCTGTGCACTGTATAGGTATCTTGACTAGTATACAGTACAACTTGGTATAGGGATGCTCATTTCAGTTAATTTTCTCAACCGACAAACGCCACTGGTTAAATGAATATTAACCGTTGACTGGTCAGATTAATATAAAATTATTATTTAATAAAAAATTTATTGACGCGTCTATTTTGTGTCTGACACATAAAATATTTTAACATGTCAACAACAGCATAGCCTACAAAACATGCAGTGTTTCCAACAGCATAAAAACGAAAAAAATAAATAAATAGCCCTGCCTTAGATATTTTCACTTAAATGACAAATTTAGATTAGAAAATGAGAACACTGACACAATTCTTTTTTTAAGTACCGGCATAGACTGTTTTTTTATTTTCCACAGAAAATATGCATTTAATTAATGTTCCGCTGTAATTCTTATATTACAAACCTCTGTCAGCGTTTTTATAGAAGTCGTTATTTTAAAGATTATAACTTGAGTATCTTATTTTACCTTAGAGCTTCTGTGCTTTTATTTCTTCCGTCTCACTCGCGGTTCATGTGTGTGCTGCGCGTGGGAGACAAATAACAAGGTGCATACTGTATGTTGACTTTTTTTAAGTATAGGCAACTATAGCATATAATAGTTTTGTTTTTTACATACCGTGTTGCTTTAACTTGCATATATATATTATAGTTTATATAGCTACAATATTTCCCAGAGATGTGTTGCGGCTGGAAGGGCATCCGCTGCGTAAAAACTTGCTGGATAAGTTGGCAGTTCATTCCGCTGTGGCGACCCCGGATTAATAAAGGAACTAAGCCGACAAGAAAATAAATGAATGAATGAATGAATGAATGAATGAATAGCTATAATAAGAGTCTCAGTTTAGTGCAGAGTTATCATGCAAAAATTTAATAAATCATTGGATTTGTTTGATTCGTAGATTAAGCTATGGAGGCTATTTTAAAAACAGATATTTTATAAGAACTAATAATAACCGTAATTTTCCAAATTGAAAACATGTTGGTTTGTTGGTTTTACACTTAATCATCAAAACTATATAATTTGTGTTTGAGTGGTGCAGAGCACGCTCTGATGGAGAGAAAATCCTGACACTCTGACTTGTTTGCAAATTAGTGGACATTTCAGACAGTTTGCGGCTTTTTTCTCCACTTGTACAAATAGATGGAGGTTTAGGAGACAGACTATCACCATCTGCGCTGGTTTGGCATCAACTCGTCTGTGTCAAACTGTGGCCACCAATATTCTTCTTTTTGCTCCTGTCATTTTGCTTCTTTTACAAATACGTCTGTGGTTGCACATGTTCCCAACGAGATAACAAACATGTGTTGCCCATTTATGCAGCAAAATTTTAAAAATACAAAATAAAATAAAAATTATTTTTTTACCGGTTAACTGATACCATTACTTAAAAATGCATCCTTTTGGTAACGGTTATTTGGTTAATGTGAGCATCTCTAACTTGGTATTATAAATATTATACAATGCATTATTCCTATTAGTGTTCTCTGGTTGTATAATGCACATTGTGTGGTTGCAAGTTGTGTATATTTCCCATAAACACTGCATATGCATATGGTATGCAGTATACTGAACATGCATAGCATGAGTAATATGGTAGTATGCCATTCCCAACATAGCCTGAACACATTATATTATTAGTCCAAAACAATAGAGCAGTAGTTTTCAGCAGTTCAATTGGCAGATGTGCAACACTCATATGTGTGTATGTGTATAATTGCATCATGAAAAGCACCTTAGGACCAGCATCAACTAGAACCTAGAACTAGACTGGAATGATACAGTGTTTCTGTATGTATCCTCCGGACACAGTATATGTAGATGATTCAGACATGCTGGCTGGTATCACTGCAGCTCAGTGTTATTACAGATAAATGTAATTGTGTGAGTGTGGATGGATGGGGGCACGTTACATGTGTTTATTACTCTGCACTTTTTTAGAAGTTGTACTGCAGAATTTGTCCATGTTTATTCAAGCTGCTCCCTGCCACCCTTCCCCACACCCATTCCCCATTACACACTGCATGACGTTTAAGATGATCATCATATTCATATTCATGCCCACCGACTGCCAGTGATGGTGTATTTTGCCTTGTTGACTCTATAATCTCACCACGTGAGCATGCATGAATGCTTGTTAGTCAAAGATATCTTGTGTGCTGTAGTTATTAATGCAATTTCCTTGTTTGTTTGTGATGTCTCTTGTGGTTTGTCTTGTTTGTGTGCTTATTTGTGTTTTTCTTTTAATATATATATATATATATACCAAATATGTCTGTATGTTCCCATTTCATTTTACTATTGTTGTTGTGTTCCCTTGTCTTTGCGTCTGTTTCTTTATTCCTTCTGATAAGATGGCAACTCTAGCCAGGGGATGAAGGAGGCATCTACAGATGACCAACCCTGCTCACGCAGAGGCCGTTTCCAGGTACTTCTTTCATTTTGCTGTAGCTCAGCCAATTGCTGGTTAAACAGGAGGAACTGTAAATAGTGACACAAAACTATTTACTCTGTAAAGCACAGTTAGAGATTAGTTCTAGTGCTCTTGGGAAAGTGTCTTCTTGTGATTGATTAATGATACAAATTTTTTCTTTTGATTTATTTCTCCTAAGACTAAGTTCTGTTGTAACAATGAAATGCAAAAGAAAGGACACACTTTAAGTGTAAAATGTACTCATATCATTTCGCCAAATGGGAATTTTGGGAAAGAATGTAGTATGTTTGTGTCATCATAAATTTTCATCACTATACTTAATCACCAGGCCAAAATCTATACATTAACATACTTATATCACAGACATGAGTCTTTCTGATTGGGCAACTGCCCTGGAACTAACATTAATGAATGGTACTGCGTGTAAAGTTGAATTTTTTTTTTTAACTGTTGAACTTGACGTGGTGTTTATAAACAGCACTCATGACACGCAAGCTTAGTGATCACACGCATCCATTTGAATGGAAAAACTTGTTCTGTGTAAATGGCTTTTTATAATGTTGTCTATATGCATATCTCATGAACACAACCATTCCCATATTACTAAAAGGTTACACCATGAGTTTTGGGTTCTTGTCTTTATTGTTAAAGGTACATCACTGTCATCACAGTTAACACAAATAATTTAAACTGCTTGAAATATCAATAACTTCCTGCTCTTTTCTCAGGTGATTCCAGTATCCCAGTCTGCAGAGACCCTTCCAACGCAGGAAGCTCCACCAAGCCAAATGATGAGAGTTGGCCGTTTCTCAGTCACTCAAGCTGAACATCGAGAGGAGCATTTGACCGACAGCTCCCCTGTGTCACCTGACCTGGAGCGAGAGAGGAGGAAAACGAAAGACGAGAGGAGAACGACAGCACCCAGCCACCCATCCAAGAGCCACGCGCACTCACCCCTGGGCAGCAGTGATGATGAGAGCGAGGTGGAGGATGAAGACTTAAGGAAAGAACTGCACAAACTCAGAGAGAAGTGAGACAAGTTCAATACACCTGTTACTTTACATTTACTTTTATCTGAATGACTTATTTAGATTTAGATGTTTTTAGATGCCATGACAAGCCTAAGCTAGTTCAGCAATGTTTTGTTTTTTTGAGAGTTAAGTATGCAAAACTGTTCCTAGGTTTAAGCCTCTACTTAAATGAATTGATAAAACTCTAAATACACAACACAAACACAAATTTAAAATCAAGAGAAGCAAAAAAAAGGGACATTTTAGTTGAAATTTTGTAGGATATAATTTTTTTGTCAATATTTAGCTTAAATTAAATTGTATTATCTATCAATTTCTAGATATATGTAGACTAAAATATTAATTTAATAAATGTATCTGTTTAATAAAACTTTTTGTTTAAAATGCACCAAAATACATTGTCCACATTCACTGAGAAATGGATCCAAAATATTCATTTTCAAAATGGGGTGGACTCAGTTGTCCTAAGCACTGTAATTTATCTTATTGTCCCAAAGACTCCCTTATGATTTGTTCAGCGGTTCATTTTTCCTAGCCAATCCTTTGTGTGATACTAGTCTGCAGTGATTGGTCTACTGAGTGCTGTGCATATGGGAAATGGGAATGCCCATCATGACTCATAAGTATTGAAGCCAGCAGTGAGTGTACAGTATACTTTATGTGTGAGCCCAGTGGCAGGAGCATATTGATAATCTATTTGATGAGCCCTGAAGTTTGTCCACCAGCTTATTGCTCTATTCTTTATCATAACTTCAAGTAACAAAAACATTTAGAATTAATCGAGTCCGCGGCAGTTCAGCTATTTTGAAATTTACCATGGTGGACCCGCAAAGCTCATCTGGATATTTTCATTCAGTTAGAGCTTTTACACTGCATAAAAGGTTATTTTCGAAAATCCATAATAGGGCTCGTTTAAAGCTGTTCTTTTAAAAAAATGGCATTATAAGCTACACGTATAGACCAAGAGGCCAGTATTTCTACTATTTATAAAAGATAAATCCTTGTTTGGCCATCTTGGATTAGGAATAGATATAAACATAATGAACATAATGTTCAATAGTATTACAGCACTCTGAGTGTATGTTAGTACAATTTATTTATTCCCTTTTTTCATCTGATAGAGCATTTAGACACTGAAACTGTGACATATGACGTGAGACTTAACATGCGGATTGCGCACTGCTGTTTTATTTTTCCATTCCATAATTGCTTCATACTGACTGTTCTTTCTCTCTGTAGACACATCAAGGAGGTGGTGTCCCTGCAGGCACAGCAGAACAGAGAACTACAGGATTTGTACAAGCAGCTCCGCTCTCTCAAAGACCACAGACAGCCAATGTCTATGAGCCTGTCCCGCACCTCTCCTCTGCCCTCCGCACCCCTCGCTATCTCCCCGCGCAGACCCCGACCCGCCAAAGCCAAGCTCCGGCCTCGGCCGCACTCTCACATGGATAACAACGGAGTCGCACACCAAGGTACTGCCATCTTTAAAAATTAGGTGCCAATCAGATTGAGTGACCTTTTTTGTGATTAATAACGTACTTTGCTCTTGCTTTTGAAAATACAAACACTCAGGGAGTCTTCAGCAGTCTAGCAGTTATTCCGGTGGGGAGCAAAGCCGGCTACATTCACACTGCAAGCCAGAGAAATCACAATCCCTGACATCTAACAGAGGTACTTAAGCTGGTGAACAGATCGCATTTTTAGATCTCCAAATTGTTATGCTAGTTATAAATGTGGAATCAGTTGGATTTTATTTAATAATCATTTTGCTGTTGTATAAAAAACATACATCTGTTCATTAAGGGTGGATTAAATTAATCAAAAGGGACTGTAAAAATCTTTGCAATACTGTAAACAATTATTGTTTTCAAATTAATGTTGTTCTTTTGAGCTTTCTATTTATTAATAAATATGGGGGTGGTGGGGGTCAAGATTTCCACAAATATTTAAGCAGCACTGTTTTTAACTTGTAAAATAGTAAATCTAAAAAAATTTAGCACCAAATAAGCCTATTGAAGACAGCCTATTGAAAATATAGCCATTACAGAAAAAAATATATATTTATATACTAACATGGAAATAACTATTAAATCATAATAGCATGTATTGTAATATTTTGCAATATTGGAAATTTTGATCAAACCATTTTAAAGATTCTCCATTTGTTTTTTCTCAATTTTTGTAGCTAATCACAATTCATTGTCTTTTGTAACTTTCCAATTTCTTGTTTTCAGACCACAGTCCTTCAGCCCAGGGTTCTGGCAACAGAAAGAGCACATTCACAGATGAGCTGCATAAACTTGTCGATGAGTGGTCAAAGGAAACTGTTTGTCCAGTTCAGCCCAAGCCTTCGCTGAATCAGATTAAACAGATCCAACAAGTGCAGGAGTTGGGTGGATGGAGCCAGCCTGCTGAGGTGAAGCACCAGATGCAAACTCTCAAACACGATTATGCAGATTAGGCTGTAGGAGTATTTTGCTGTCACATTATTAGTGTATATAGCTCCATCCTCTGTCATTTTTTGAAATTTTTAAGAGTGTAAATTGTCAAAGTTTTACCCTAACATCAAATTTCAGATTGTTTGGTTTAAATAACATCATTTTTACTGTGAAAAACACCAGTAAGTGTGGCTGCATCGTAAGGCCACTGGTGGAAAAAGATTCCTAATAACTGAATACTTTTTACTCCATCTAATTTAATGATATTACTGTTTCTTAGACTCACAGACTCCACATATAAAAGTGTGCCACAGTATAGTAGATGTGCATACAGTATAAAAATAGCTTGAACCATTTTTCTGCTGTGGGCATTTTTCTGCAGAGAGCCACATGCTCAGTGTCATGTATTTATTAAATTAGTGCCAGATTTTTTTCCCCCTTAAATGAAATATGCTGGGACTTGTATTTGCAATTAACTTTAAGCAAATTGATAAAGAACATTACTATATATTTCTTTATATGCAGTACATTTCTTTATACTTGATGTTTATAATAAATCCTTGTATAATCTATGCCATAACAGTTTGTTTTATTGTTCATATATATTTTTTTGTTCTATACCAAATAGTTTTCATTTTAAAGGGATTGTTTATACTAAAATATGTGTCTATAAAGTTTTTAAATGTTTAATTATTTTTCGGGCTACCTAGTTTACATTTGTTTCTAAATGAAATGGCTTGTTTATTTATTTGTTTTCTAGAAGAGAGAGTTTTGAATTCCTCTTCAGTAAATATTTGTAATAATAAAACTAAAAAACAAATAATACACTAATAAAAATGTTTGTTTCTTGCAGACAACAGCTTCGTCGGGTTGGTTTTCCGGGGCCCCTTTAAGTACGCCTGTATCAGTCAGCATGACCACCATGACATCCACCCCCTATAGCGCCATTAGTGGACAAACACAGCCGCCTCCGACGCAATTCCCTATCGTTCCTCTACCCCAGCAGAACGTGCATCCACAACCCGGCCCGCACCGTCAGCCCCTGCAGTACGGCCCTTCACCCCTGCAGCAGGCCCAGCTCCCGGTGCCTGCAGCAGGACAAACACCGCCCCCAACCAATCCAGACGCTGTATTCTGCTCATGCTCTTCCTCCTCCTGCTCCTCATCCTCCTGTTCCACCTCCAGTGCCAAACTTCACCCCAAACCCTCCACGTCCACCCTTCCTTTAGGACAGCAGTGAGCGGATACTGATGTACATCTTGTACAGTACGGACTCCAGTAGCAAGCGGTTGCCTGTTGGTGTGTGTGTGTGTGGGTATGGGGTTGTATAAATACTGTAGTGTGTGTATTTGTGTGCGCGTGCGTTTGTGTTGCTTTTTTCTTTTTCCGATACATATCCTCTGTGTGTTTCCACACCGTCAAGTTTTATATCCGACTTGAACTTGCCCTATATAGAGACATTTTTTGACATGAGAAATGATCCTGTTTGTTTTTATTTATCAGTGCTTCAAAAGGAAAGACTCTTTGATTTTTCTTTTTAAAAAGTGCAATTAGTAACTGATATTTAAATTCACCTTTTCTGTGTTGTTGTGACGTGGATCTGTATAGCTTAAAAGAGATATTTTTTATATATAAGCACAGAAGCGACAACAACAACCAGACGTCAACAGCAAAAGAGACATCTTGATATAGCACAACAATTTGAGCCTGAAGCGAAATCCAACGCATGTTCCAGCGCAGAGCATGCTAACCTTGCAACCATCATCGTAGCTACATTCGAAAAAACACCTGTTGTGCACGGATAAGGCATGCTCCTCATGTATTATATTTTACAAAAATAAATAGCGGTAACGTTTTAGATCTAGCGGAGATTTTTTCTAGAATAACGTTAATAGCCATCGACTAATTCCTTTTTCAAATTCTGCAATTTTAATTGTGAGAAAAAAAAGAAACGATTTTAATACTTTTTCATTTGATTTCAAATGAAAGTAGCTAATATGATTGCAGTATTTTCCTCTCTGTCTTAGCGGGCGTTCATACTTTTAAGGTTTACACTATTAACATTAGTCCCATGGTGAGGAGTGCAAGACTAGACGGCTGTTTGGACTGCTCTAGTGAAGTGAACGCAGCTTGTTCTTGTCCTTGTGTATTTTCTTTTTGCACAGTCCCGTATGAACGTGCTGCCGTGCACATCCAGCTGTGGTCTGTCGACTGTGAGTTTGCTTTTCGTGAAAGCAGCGCATCAGCAAAACACTGGCAAAAAGACAGATTCCTCCATAAACTCTGGTGGAAATGATATATATGTACATATGCGTAACTGCCAAGATCATTTATGATTGGGAGGATATTCAGAAATGGGTTGCCTTTCTACAATAGTTTTTTTTTTCTGATCATAAAGTTCGTATGAGATTTAAATTAAGGAATAGTTTATCCAAAAAAAAAAAGAAAAATTGGTTTTAAATGTACTGACTCATTGACGATTCATTCATTTAATCAGATCTAGGTCCTTTTTTTCAGTGACATTTTGAAGACGGTGAAATCGTAATCATTGGTGATTCATTTATTTAAAAAAAAAAAAAACAACCTACAGGCAAAACTACATACAATTATGTGATGTGATCAGTCTGTGCAAGAAACGTACAATTAATTATGACATTGGTTGCCTAATTTTATTTAGTGCTGGTTTAATTGCATTTTATGACTCACTAAGACCACGGATTCAGATATAACAAAAAATTCTTGAAAAAAAAATGTAATTTACATCTTTGAATAGTCTGATAACTAAATTGAACACACATCTTTTCAAAGTGTCCATTTGCCTAAAATTGATGTTATTAATTACTCACCCTCATTTCGTTCCAGACTCCTGAGACCTTCATTCACCTTCAGAATACAAATGAAGATATTTTAGGTGAAATCTGAGAGCTCGCTCATCCTCCATAGAGAGACAGCAAGACTCAAAGTACAGAAAAATGTCAAAAAGGTATTTGCCTAATAACACAAATGATATGCCCTCAGTGGTTCAATCAGAATATTATCAAGCTACAAGAATACTTTTTGTGCACAAAACAAATATAATCACTTTATTCAATAGTTTCTTTATCTCAGATTCGCAGTGTCAGTACAAGAGAGCTGTGCTCTTAAACGCGCCCTATGCTGACACCGAGATCTAATTTTTTTTTTAATGCTTTCACAAAAGTATTCTCATAGCTAGATACTATTTCAGTTGAACCTCTGAAGGCATATGGTCGGCTTTGAGAATGTGTTTTGATATGTTTCAGGACAGGAACTTTGCTGTCTATGGAGGATAATGGAGCTTTCAGATTTCACCTAAAAAGAAATCTTAATTTGTGTTTCAAAGATGAACTGGTTTGGAAAGACTTGAGGGTGAGTAATTACATCATCTTTTTTTTTTGGTGAACTAAGCCTTTAATTCCTAGCCTTTAAATCAGCAGCTACATAACTCTGTCAGACTACTATAGATTTATAGGAGCAGTTTCTCATCGAGTGTCGTTCATAAACCTGCAAAGCCCATATACAGAAAACTGACTGTGTTTGTTAATGTTCTGTTGAAAAAAAGTAATGGGGGCTTTGTATAACTGTTTTTCAGTAAGTAGGTGAAAGACGGACAGGATGGAATGTATTGTAAGTGCACAAAAAATGAGGAACCGATTTGTTTTGTGAAGTTTTTTTAAATTGTTCAGATGCTTGTGGATGTTATAAAAGAGAGTCAACATAATTGCTGCCTAAACAGGGTTGTGATCATTCAGTTTCCAGTATTTTATGTCTTTTTTTTTTCTTTTTTTTTAGACAAGACCCACATTCTCACAATAAAAGCAAAAGTACAGTGTAGTAGTGGTGAATAAAAAAAGGCTGTTGTGTCTGAGAAAACTCAAACATTATCCATTTGAGCTGTACAAATAAGAAATGTAAAGATGGCCCTCTGCTGAAGTGTTACCAAAATGTAATCTAAAAAGAAAGCATTATTTTTGTATTTAAAAAAGGGGGTTGTAAAAATGTAAAATTGTGTACTGATCAGTGTTCAGAAAGCTGTGGTTATCTGGTAAGACACAGGTCCTAAACAGTTTCTCGAGTTCCCCTGGCTTCCAACTTTACATGTTTCTTCTACTAACATTGTGGCAGTTTAAGAAGGATTTTAATTTGATACAAGTGATAGGGAATATTTTAAGCCAAACCATTTCCACAGTGGAGCGTGTTTTGGGTGAAGTTGTACGGTAAAACCAGGGGGACCCCAGAATTACTCAACTGACCACCAATAATTAAAGGTTATTTAAGTGAAAATAATCTCTAGAGGACTAAACTTATTGCTGGTGATTTAGCGACTGTAAATTGTAACTAATTCAACTGTTGATTCTATTTATGTTTTGTAACTAATCAAAAATAAACATCAGATGTTACAGTAAATATAAAGGTGTAAAGAATTGTTTTGCCGTGACCACATGCAAAAAAAGTGTCATTGCCATGTACAGTATGTATATATATATATGTATATGTACATAAAGATGTATATGTACACAAAGACATTTTTGTCTTTGCATAAACTATAATAAAAACTATATTTATATATATATATATATATATATATATACAGCTTTTTATCAAAAACAAGGAACAGACAGACAAACCCATCATGAAACAATAATCTGTGCAAAATGTGAAATAAAGAATGAAACAAGGGTGACATCAAAAACGTTTGAAAACGACATTGCAATGGATGTAAAGAGAGAGAAACAAACTTACAAATCTTCAGAAATTAAACAACACTGTAAGTCTTTATGGAGTTTTAGAAACAAAGACTGAATCCCACATTTTATGATGTATAAATTTTTATACTTATTGTAATTTTGTGAAATATTATTGCAATTAGCAATAACTTATCTTGTTAAATTTATTCTAAAATGCTATTTATTCCTGGGATACAAAGCTGAATTTTTAGGATCACTACTACAGTTTTCAATAACCAGTGATCCTTTAAAATTATATTCATATACTTGTCTGGTGATCAATAATTATAAATATAAAAAAGAAATTAGTGGAGTATTTAAAAACAAACTTTGACAAAAACTGTTTTTTTACAGTTGTTTACTTTCATTTTTAGGACTGTTAAATTTATCTTTGCTGAACAAAATTATATAAAATAAAATGACATATTAAAATCTAAAATGATATAAGCCCATAACTGTTGTGTTGTGTATTTTTAAAGCACTTTAATTTAAAAAAAATTAACCAAAAAAACAAAACAAAAATTAACCAAAAATGAAGATTCCATCATAATTTACTCAGTCTTGACTTGTTCCAAACCATTTGTCTTTTTTTTTTTTTTTTGTTATTTTTATGATATTCTGAATAATTTTAAAAACTGGTAACCAAATACTATGGAATCAATAGTTTCCAGTATTAACATTCTTCAAAATGTATTATGTGTTCAACCCAATAAAGAAAGTCAAACTAGTTTGGAAATGAGTCGTGGTGATGTTACGATGAGGGAATTTTTATTTCTGGGTGAATAATAATATCGCTGCTGTTTACACTGGTGCAAAGTAACACATTACAAATACTCAAATTACTGTAATTGAGTAGTTTTTCCTCAGAAATTGTAATTTACTAAGTAGTTTCTAAAAGAGTATGCTTTTACTTTTCCTTGAGGACATTTTTAGAGCTGTATTGGTACTTTTACTCCACTACTCAACCTGCAGTCACTTTATTTTTTCTTGTCTATGGTGATTTACAGAGTACACAAATCAGTCCTGTGATTCCATAGACATGGGTGCTATATAAATGCTGCAAACTGTTTAAAAGCATGAAAAGTGTCCAAGAAGATGTACAAAGTCTTTACACACAATGACCCAAAAAGACTGTTTAGAGCAAGCATGTCCAAGCTCAGTCCTGGAGGGCCGGTGTCCTGCAAAGATTAGTTTTAACCCCAATCAGACACACCTGGGCTAGCTAATCAAGCTCTTACTAGGCTTTCTAGAAACATCCTTGCAGGTGTGTTGAAGCAAATTGGAGCTAAAATCTGCAGGTCACCAGCCATCCATGACTGAGTTTGGACATCCCTGGTTTAGACAGTCTGAAAATTGCAAGAACTAAATGTACAAAAGGTTTGGTTAACATACACCAGCGCAAGCTGCATATAAAAGCATTAGCCTTTCACAGCATAATACTCACTACTCTTGAGTACTTTTAAAAAGTCTACCTTTTACTCATTTTGAGTAATGTTTGCAACATATGCTTTTACTCTAACTACATTTTTGGGCAAGTAATAGTACATTACTTGAGTATGATTATTCAGTACTCTTTCCACCATTGGCTGTTTATTGTACAGTATGCACTTCCCTGTAATGTTCTGCATCACCAGTTGAGGTCTCGGTGTCCTATTCTGTCCAATAAAATAGCACATAAAAAGTAAATTGCATCATACTGAACTACATTAAGACATGGGCGCTATATACTGTAATGCAGCAAACTGTTTCAAAGCATTAAAAGTGTCCAAGAAGATGTCCAAAATCTTTACACACAATGATCCAGAGACTGTTTAGACGGTCTGAAATTTGCCAAATATAGTCTTAAACAGTAACTAAACGTACAGAATGTTTCGTTTACACGCACCAGCACAAACTGCATATAAAAGCATTAGCCTTTCACAACATCACTACTCTTGAGTACTTATTTTAAAGGGCTACTTTTTACTCATACTTTGAGTAATGTTTACAACAGATACTTTTACACTACCTGAACTACATTTTTTGTGAAGCTACTTATACCTGAATATTTTTTTTAATATAGCTTTGAAACATTACATAAAGTAATAGTACAACAATTCAGATATATGCTATATCCAAAAACATTACTATAGTTATAATAGCAACAACCAGAAATGATAATGAAGCAAAAACATAACAGGAGAAAAAAAAAATACACAATTAAAAAATAATAACTTATACCTGAATATGATTTCAACCACTGGCAATTTATTACACAGTATGCGCTTACCTGTAATATTCTGCATCACCAGTAGAGGTCTCAAGAGTCCTGATATTCTAATATAAGTTTATAACAAGACAGAAACTCTAAAACCTCAATATGACAATGATAACCATCTCTTTAGACAATACTTACTCATTTAGAACAATATAACCATCAATGCAAAGACAAAAAAGTGCACATTCCCCTACTCCTTCAATAAGGAACATTTCCAGGAATGTTTAAAAACCAAAAGAAAGCGGAATTTGCTGTCAGAAATGTACAAAAAGATGAACTGGCCAGCTGCTGCCTTCATTAAAGTAAATGCAACTAATGAAGCGTGTTACTAAGCGTTTGCTCGTCTTCTCTTCAGATGTGAGTGTTTAGCACTGTACAGTGAACAGTCTGTTGAGGTCAGGCATGTTCTGCTGCGGGTTCAGAAGTCACCAATCGCCTTGACAATGTGCCTGTTGTTATCGCTCGGTCTATATGCATCAATGAGGGGATTAAGCAGTTGAGATGGCACGAGTACAATAATGCTCTTCTCTGTGAACAAGAAACCCATGCAAGAACCCCTGCGGATGACGACCCGCTATAAAACTGTCTGACTAGACTCTCTGTGTGATACCTGCAGAATTATCACCAGCCGAATTAGCATAGCTCCAACCTACTTGGCTATATGTCCTGAAGGAAGCTGTTTATTGGACATTTAAATGAGGAATTTTTCGATCTGGCGAATGTTTTTGACAGCAAAACGTGTATTTATTACTTATAAGAGCAGTGGAATGTCATTTTACAGTCCTTGCAATATATTATATGCTATGATAGATTGTATTTATTTACCCAATGCTAGTATTGGATTGGACTCCCATTTGCCTTTAGATTTGCATTGAATCTACATTGTAGAGATTTTGCTCCAAATTGAAATGAAAGATTGAGCATCACACCTTTGCTGCAGGTTTGCGGGCTACACATCCATGAAGTAAATCACCACTTCACTCTCGTTATGCTAAAAGCAGTCATTACTGGTCAGATGGACATGGTCAGCAACAATACTTGTGGTAATTTGCTATGTGGCCTAAAGTGTGGCAAGAAATTTCAACCACAACATTACACCACCAGTAGCCTAAACCGTAAAATGGATCGATGTTTTCATGTTGCTTATGCCAATCTTAGCCTGCCTATCAACTGTTGCAGCTGAAATGCAGATTCATCAGAGCAGGCAACCTTTTTCTAATCTGCTGTTTGTTTTTGAGCCAGTGGAAACTATAGCCTCAATTAATTTGCTGTTGTTAGGAGTGTCAACAGTGTCTTCTGCTGCCCTAGCTCATCTGCTTCAAGGTTTAAAACCAGGTGAGTGCATCACAGCAAGTTTTACTTTCATTACAACCAATCAGTATAGTTAGGATGGTGCCAAGTACTGTACAATAGCAGCTAAATATATTTAAATTAAACTAATAAGCATTAAACAAAATTACCCCCCTGTATTCATTAACATATGTAGCCAAACAGTCAACTTTGTTTATGTAATGTATCATCATATGTTGCAGAAGGTGGTGCAGAAATCCAAATAATGAAGGATCTCAAAGAAGTGTGAATGAACGTCATGGGGCATTTAAAGTTACATTTACCATTAGAAATACTCCAAAGATGTAGTTTTGTGCAATAGTCAAAAAGTACATTTGTATTTAATTATAGCAAAAATCATTAGAATATTAAGTCAAGGTATTTTTACATATTAATAATTGTTTAATATAACATACACTGCCTGACAAAAGTCTTGTCATTGATCCCAGTTATAAGAGCAACAAATAATAACTTGACTTCTAGTTGACTTCTAGATCATTTAGAAAAGTGGCAGAAGGTAGATTTTTCTGATGAAGCAGCTGTTGCATCCCAGTCATCACAAATACTGCAGAAGACCTAATAGAACCCACATGAACCCAAGATTCTCATAGAATTCAGTCAAGTTTGGTGAAAGAAAAATCATGGTTTGGGGTTACATTCATTATAGGGGCATGCGAGAGATCTGCAGAGGGTAGATGGCAACACCAACCTAATGTATCAAGACATTTGTGCTGCCCATTGCTTCAAGCTGGTCCCGCATTATTTAATTTATGATTCACCAATCAGACGATTCCTAAGCCACTATACCTAAGTTCCATATAACAGCCATCTTCATTTTTAAGACGACCCCCCCTCCCTTCCACCCCTATTCCTCCTCCTTTCCTAGATGGTTGGCATGGTGGCCCAGTGGTTAGCACTGTTGCCTCACAGCAAGAATGTCACTGGTTATAGTCCTTACCAAGCCAGCTGGCATTTCTGTGCAAAGTTTACACGTGCTCATGTGGGTTTCCCCCGAGTTCCCCAGTTTCCTCCCACCATCCAGAAACATGCAACCTAAGGTAATTGAGTAATCCAAATTTGCACCATAGACATGCTCCTGGTAAGTAGTTATTGTAATACAATCGTAATTGTAGAAGTATTGTAAGTAGCAATCACTATCTGTTCATTAACTACTAGGAGGTTCTCGAGATCTACCTGAGCTCAAACTCCACTCTCGCCTTGCAAATGAGAGGGAGCCGCAAGCTCGAAGTTCTTATGAGCTCAGGGCTCTCTCCTGGGACAGCATACCCAACAAGCTTTTATAATCAATCATCAGCTAAGTGTGAACTCTTGAAATGAACGTTAAGCATATCTGGGTTAAGATGGAGGAGGCACTGAAGATTAATTAAAAATTATGATGAACTCTGGGAGTCCTGCAAGACAGCTTTCTTTGCCATCTCAGATAACTTTATTAATAAGTTATTTGGGTCATTGCAGAAGTGTATATATGCAGTCGTCCAAACTCATGGGAGTCATAAACAATAGTCATTATTTTTCCACTGCACCATGACTTTATATTCTACACTTTGCCAAGACTTTTGTCTTGGCAAAGTCAGAGCTTACTGTTCTAATTAATTAATTAAAAATCAAGACATGATCATATTTTAATTAGGTAAAATAAGAGTAATCTAGAGGACTTTGTGTTTCATGTAAGCCTCTTCTGAGAATTCAAGTTATTATTTGTGGTTCCTAAAACTTTGATAAGTGAATTTTGTCAGGTAGTGTACAAACTTTTAATAACATTAAGGTTTTTTATTTGGGGGGAATCCTTAGATTCCAGATTTTCTAATAGTTGTTTCTCAGACAAATATTGTCTTGTCCTATAAACAGTAAATATATATAAAACAATTTGACCTAAGCAGCCATTTTCATTTATACTGCAGCCCCTGATATTTATGCTATTTGTATTTGTTTGTATTCTGGTATTTAACATTTTCATTTAATAAACAATTAAGTCAATGTTAACTTATTTACAGAAAATCAGAGTGGTTTATTACCATGACTCACAATATAAACACTATTATTTGTTTACAATATATAGAATTTGTGACAATCGGTTAACAACATACATTATTTGTTACAATTTGATCCTGTAACATTAAAGCTCTCTCTGATATATAAAAAAATACACCAACCCGATATTATGTAAATATTGTCATTATTCAAGGGTGGGTTTAAAAGTAATCTAAAGTTGTTCCCCTCTTTCAAGATTAGGGTAGAGACGATTGCAACATGAGTTGCATCAAGACTTATTCGTCCATGCAGGATTGACCAGCCTTCAATCTGAAATGAATCAGCCATATGAGGTTTGAAAAAAAATAAAGGGAAAAAATATTTTTTTTACGTTTCTCTTAGTCTAATGTTTTTGTGAAACATTATTGATTGGTATAATTTAACTCACTGTTTTCTTAGCTTTAAATAGGTATCAAGTATCAACTATTAAATCTACCTAGCATATAAAGTTTAATCATAATGTTGCAATGTCCCCACTTCCCCCTACAGGTATTAAAGGTGTCCCTCTGGCCGGTAAAAAGTCGCCCATGATCAGCTGTGAGTCACCGGCTGTTGCGCTGCGTTCTGGAGGGTGGAGAGGCGAAGGGAAGCGCTGCGTTCATGCACTGATTGGTAAATAGCAGCGCTCAATCGGGCCAATCCACATGAGCACATCATAAGTGTATACACAGGGAGTGGCGATCCTGCGTCATTCTCCCAACTTTCCTTCTCACTCCTCTAATCTCGTTTTAGCCTAGTAAATAGTTTATTATCCGTTGACTAAGTGGGAAAATCCAACGGGAAAGGCGCTACTGTGAAGCGGAACTTTTTGATCAAAGGGATTACTCCGCGAGGGAAACACATAGATGTAGCTATTTCATGGATATATATTTTTTTTTACTTCAGAATAAACCTTCTTTTTCCCAGAGGAATATAAACCACGAGCTGACCACTCGAGCGCGCTTTTTGTGTATTTTTGGGCATGTCTGAAGGCGCTCCTGACAGACAGAGATCCTTCACTCACGAGTCGAGATGGGACAGCAGGTGCTCGCGCTCTGCGCTCTCCTGTTCCTCTGTGTACCTCAGCCTGTCACTTCACAAACACAAGAAGGTATACAAGCGTTTTGTTTTTGTGTTATTGTTCTGTAAGATCTATGAATAATGCGAATGCATGTATATAAATGTCGTTGTCTCGTTTAACAAATCTTGTTTGAGATGAAATATTAACCAAAATCCGATTTCCTTGCCATGGTCACCGTCTGGGTTTACTCCTTCCCACCTGTTCCCACCTTACAGCCTTTTAACAGAATGTAATATTTACCTGTCTAGTTGACCAATGCCGTAAGACATTTTAAAACCTTTTTCATATTTATGTAGCATTTTGTGAATGGTCGCGCTTTTTAAATCACTTTCAGCTTTTAGTAGCTCTCTTAAAGTGATAGCTAGTTCACACAAAAATGCAAGGTAACTATTTTTTCTCCGACATGTGGTTTTAAACCAGCATGAGTCTCTTTCTTCTGTCACCCGTCGAGATTTACCAATGAAACAGAGGAAAGAAACTCAAAAACGTTTTAAGCAAATGAAGGGTGAGTAAATGACAGAATTTTCTTTTCATTGAACTGACCCTTTAAATAGTCATTTGACTGAGATTTAAAAGCACAAACCTTAACAAAAAAAGTCATGCTTTTCTTACAAGCAAAAAACAAATCATATTGTAGGTTAATCCATGATAACTTGACTTTGCTTCAGTGGCCATAGATTGACCATGGTTTTTGTTGTATAACTTTGGCTATACAAGCGGTTATCAGTGCACGAAGAAAACAATGTTTACTGCACGTTTATAATAGTAATTAACATGGTTGATTTATGTATGGAAATAAGGAATCTATTGCATGTACTAATTTAAACTTAAGTAGAAATCATCATACATAATCACTTATATATAAAGTTTTGTGACATGGGGCGCAGTGATTAGCACTGTCGCCTCACAGCATGAAGGTCGCTGGTTTGAGCTTGGGTCAATTGGCATTTCTGTATAGAGTTTGCATGTTTTCCCAGTGTTTGTGTGGGTTTCCTCTGGGTGTTCCGGTTTCCCCCACAGTCCAAAGACGTGCTGTATGCTGAATTGGGTAAGCTAAAATTGTCTGTAGTGTATGCATGTATGTCCTGGTCCTTCAGGTTGGGGGTTGAGTGTTGGGCTTACAACCCACCTCATAAAAAATAAAAGTAGATGTTATGAAACATCAATATGGTGTGGCTAAAGATCAACTTTGATATAAAAAATTGTCCTAGGAGTAAGTATATATGAAGTTAAGTGTCACAGTGCAGAATACTGCTGTAACTGCATGTCATGTTAGCCCTCTTGTCCTTTCCAGACATCACCTCTGATAACAATTGACTTCAGATCAGAGAACATAATTGCACTTGAGAATGGCAAGGGTGTGTGAGTGTAATAAGCCTAAACATGCTTCTAAAAATAAAGCTGGCTGGATTTTTAAATAACTTTTAAGTGAAAAGTTCTTCAAAGAACCATTTTTTTATTTCTTATGTATTCTTATAATCTAAAGAATCATTTCCTACTATTAAAATACTTTCTGAAATGAAAATATTCCTTAAATGTTAACGATCCTATATAGAACCTCAAATAAAAAAAAATTAAGAGTGCATATATAAAAAGGATAAATATATCTAGCACAATGGCTTTAGTACAATTTCAGTAGGATTTTGCTTTAATTACAAAAACTGCCATATAGTGTACAATACAATAAAATAATCAAACATGATGTGCGTTGTTCATTACACTCCACTGACTGCTGCACAGTGGTGAGTCCTGTTTACTTGATATATTGACACTCTTCAAATGATTAAACCAGCCTCAACTTAAACAGCTTTAGGGCACAAAGCTCTTTTTTTCCCCTCACTAACTCTTTTTCCACAGAACGTTAGCTTTAAGCACTGATTCCTGGTATGGCCAATCCCAAATGCTTATTTTTGCCGCCAGCCTCACTGCGTTTGTGAAGTGAACAGAATAAGATGTGGACTATAGTGCCATATCATAAACCACTCTTTAATAACTCCTTTACAATCATGACTCCAAAGTTCAGCGGTAGATATGGAGGTCTGAGTAAGTTAATAATATAATGAGCATTTCCTTCCGTTGTGAATATATAGGAGTGGAGGATTTTGAATGTTTGCATCTGCACTGACCTATATTAAAACTCTTCTGATGAGTGGAATTTGCAACGTTAAGCCAAAACTTCAAACCAAAACCAAAAATTCAAATTTGCTCTTAATTCACACACTCTCAAGTTGTAAGTGATGTCAGTAAAATGTTAAATATAATTTTTAGCTTGGTGATTCATAAAATGCAAGCACTTTGAGATACAAAAAGTCCTCAGTCTATCATCAGAAGTCTCCAGGGAGGGTGATATGGGCTTAAAACTATACATTGCAATATTTTTCTGGCATTTATTGCGAGGATATCAATGCCAAATATTCATAAATACATGCTCGGAGAAAATAAAGTTGTTTTCGAAAAGTATTTTATTGTTCTATTTTTGTATTTTTTTATTTTACAAAAATGGTGTGTTGTGAAGAAATGTAGTATTTGGTTTATTCATACTGGCAGCTGGAGGGTGACCTCACACATAATCTCCACATATACATTACAGAAGTAAACATATCAATCTTTTTAACCCTTTCACGTGTACAATCACACTGGTGTGATTAAAACGTTAAAACGCACATTATCATTTTTTCGTTTTCCTTCGATTTGAACCAGTGACCCTCTTGCTGTAAGGCGACAGTGCTAACCACTGAGCCACCATGTCAACTCAGAACGCACATTGTCAAAAATAGCAATTAGTCAGTGTTTTCAAACAAATAAAATTATTTTAATGGTTTCAGACATTCAAAGCTACTAGCTAAACATAAAATTGAAGTTTGTAAAATACAGGCGGATGTCTATGGAGACGGCAATAATAAATATTTTTAAATATAACAGGATCATTTGCATTTTCATGTAAAATACACATGGTTTATTTTACTATAACATTTTCTCAGTTAAATAACCACTTTCATGTATTTTAGAAGAAAATTATGGAGTATGGAATTATGGACTAAACACGGTGATGGTTTGAGCCCCAGCTGGGCCAGTTGGCATTTTTGTATGGAGTTTGCATGTTCTTCCCATGTTTGCGTAGGTTTCCTCTAGATGCTCCAGTTTCCCCACAGTCCTAAGACAAGCACTATAGGTGAATTGGATGAACTAAACTGACTGTAGAGAAGGATTGTATGTGAATGCGAGAGTGCGCATCCTCTGCATAAAAAATATATATGCTGGAATAGTTGGCGGTTCATTCCGCTGTGGTGACCTCTGATATATAAGGGACTAAGCTGAGGGAAAATGAATGAAATAAAGACACTAGAGAGGCTTTTTACAGAGCAAACACATCAGCTAAATTACTATAGAGTTTTCACAACATATCATCAATCGGCCTTATTGGTCAAGCAAGTAAAATATTTGGCTTATAGCTTTACTTTAACACTGCCCATGCGTATGTTTCCACCTAATAAATTCAGTTTGTCAAAATATTTTTTTACCAAATACGTTTGCCTCACATTATCTACGAATCTCGATGTGGACAACTATTCTGATGTGGCCAGTTCTGTTGCTCACATTCTAAGCTTGATGCAGAGCGCTCGTGTTTGAGTCTGCACAGTTCCACAAAAGAGAAAAAAACCCGTGTAAAATAACGTTTTTTAAGTAAATTATTTCTTTTTGTTTTTGAAAACACTATTGGTTGCGTTTAGATCAATGGTTTGGTGGTTGTATGACAAGCCCTGCGTCTCTTAGGCATGTAAAGGAAAGCCTCATTCACACTACGAGCGACTCGCAGTGGCGACCGTTCATTTTAACCAAGAGTAAACGACTTCCGGCAACCTCCGTCTACGCAAGCAACAGCGACCGTTGGGGACCAGGTGGGCGTGTCGAGTGATGCGACAAAGTTGAGAAACCTTCAAATTTATTCAAATGAAGATCGGCTTTCTTGAGCGACAGCCAATAGGAGCTCTAGTAGACCTCACGTGATCAACAGAGAGTGAACGACCTCCGACAACCTCTGTCTACGCAAGGTGTGTCTGTCAAGCGACACAACCAAGTTGAGAATCCTTCAAATTTATACAAATGAAGAGCGACTTTCTTGATTGACAGCCAATAGGAGCACCAGTAGAGCTCACGTGATCCTTCATCAGCTCGCTCAGAGGGCGCTTGTATTCTCAGTGCTGTAGACGTACACAGACCTGCATTTGCAGCAGTTCACCACCCAGAGCGACAGCCAGCTACAAAGTCACTGTTAGTGTGAATGAGGCAGAAGGATGTGTATCCAAAGCGTACAACAAAAGTATTCTAAATAACCTATTTCGAATTTGCAAAAAATGTAGACAATGCCCTCTAGTGAATTTGTCATCTGAAACATCCAACGAGTTGTACCCAGAGCAACATATTTTATGTTTTGCAAATTTTTAGGCTTAAGCACATATTTCCATTGAGGATAATTCTTATTATTGGGGCAAGTTTTTTGTGGTATGTTGCACCAGTATATCGTCCATCCCTACAATGTGTATTGATTTTTTGTGTTTTTTGACTCTTAAAATGCTGGCAGCCATTGACTTGCATTTTATGCCGAAATCGGACTGCATGATTTTAGCCCTGATTTTGACTCACCAACAGTTTTTGAGAAAGCGCCGTCAAATGCCAGAATGACAGGCAAATCGGTGCTCATTCACGTAAGTAACAATCACACAGTGTGAATTATCAAAGACACGAACTGAGAGAATTTCTGATAAGTCACCGACACCCATAAGATATTTGGCATGCTAAATATCTGGAGCTGTCGACGATTCAAATCATGGCGTGTGAAATGCGTTCTGATTAATAATAACATCAGGGTTTACCTATAGCCAAAGAAGAGAGCAGCAGCCCCAGTATTGGTATCTGCAGGCCAGGGGGGGTTGGGTGAGAAGTTAAAATCACTCATTTTCTGTCTATTTGAACCCAAGAAATGGGAGAAAAACTAGTGTAAATTTGGCAAGAGCACGAGTGTCTGTTTG